GGTAATTGTACTAGCAAACTTACCCAGCTCTCCTGTGAAATGTGGTCACGTGTTAGTTTTTTATTTTTACTGCAATGACACACTTAATGATAGATCTAAATCTCCGAAGCCAACACTTCTATCCCCTACACGTTTCAAAATAGAAAGGTTTCATCAAGGCTTTAGTTTTAGTTGGACAATTTAAACCCTAGAAAATGAATACAGCGCCATGTTTTGGTATTAAGAGAAACCTAAAAAAAAAAAAGTTGAATCAAGTTTATCTTCCGTCTAAAAGTGAAACGTTAGGCAGAAGACACAACACACTCACACACTCACACTCAATCACACACAGAGACACTCACACATACACACACACACGTCTTTATAACCGTTATTTCACTAATGTTATCTAATCTCTTTTGTTGTAGTATTTAAAAAAAGAAAGGCTTAGTTTGATTGGTTAAAGTACAGACACACACATACACACTTTGGCACATTGTAGTGAATTCTTGATGAGTCCCTTTCACCCGCTTCGGTTTTTGAGGCGTCTTCTATCAAGTATGTGGAACACCTCCCCACCCCCCTACATTTGTCTTTTACAGCTCAAACCTGTCTTGAAGAAACTGTGAATGAGTCTTGGTTCAAATGACGTTTTTAAATGTCTTAAGACGAACATGACACCCTGCTCTTTAACCGTTGGCCAAAAAAACAGATGACCTTAACACCATCTGCCCCATAGGTCTGAAAGGGGAACTTTACTTTTACTTACAGAGAACACGAGATAAATGTTAAGTTTTGATATTCCCAATACCGAGGTATCTTATTTATTGTACATTTACAAATGTGAAGCCAAATGCTGAAACATTGACCGATGCATATATATATATATATATAAATGCATCACTAGCGAATCGAAATGTGTGCGTCCCGGCGGGACTTAGTTTGTTCACGTGTACGTTGACCTCTGGTGAAGCGCGTGCTGGCGAAACACTCTTACTTTCGACTAATTGTTCAACTAATCTGTTAATTTTTTTCTTATATTGATTCATTGTTTGTTTGTAAAATGTTTTACATGTTTCGGATGTTCCTTCAGAGTTGAAGATAATTTACTTCCTAGTCCAAACCTCCCGCAGGACGACGGGGGATGGGAGCGGGCAGGATTTGTACCCTCGATCATCGCTAAATCCGAACGACAGTCCAGCGAGCAAACCGCACGACCAGGCAGCCATTGTCATGGACAGTGATTGAGCAAAATGTCAATATGATCTTAGAATGGGAAGGTGGACAAATAGCGGGTACTAGACAGAGTGAGTTGATAAAAACTTTGTAAAGATCATACGGTACTAGTATTGTGTAGAACTGGTGTACAGGACACAGATCTAGGGCTTAACTTCCAGTTTAGTGATAGCACTTCCTATGATCTTTTGCAATGGAGTTACGTTCAGCCACCCTTAGATACTATATTGAAGTTAGACGATCAATGTTAAATCTATACTGTATACCCTTTTAATAAGTATTTGTGTCTTCTGTTTTTATTTATTTCTCGAGTAAGTCCCGGTAAAATATTACAGGACAACGCCTTCTCTTCTTATCTTATCTTATATAATACAGACGTTACTTCAAAAAAGAAGATGATTACGTCCTACGCGTCATGCATTCAGTCATGCATATTAACCAATGACTTAAATTCTGCCAAGTCACTGGCTTTCCTGGCTAGCTCAGGCAACCCATTCCATGCTCTAATAGCACTAGGGAAGAAGGAGTATTTGTACAAATTTGTCCTAGCATATGGGACGAGGAATGTGCCTTTATTTTTGTGTCTTTCAGAGTATTTTATTAAATTTTGTTTTTGTATTTGAAGATTATGGTTCAGTGTTTTATGTATAATTGCTACTTTACTTTTGAGTCTTCTGTCCTGAAGGTTTTCTAAATTTAGTGATTTTACTATAGGTGTTACTCTAGTCAAATGTGAATATTCATTTGTTATGAATCTCACTGCTCTATTTTGTGTCTGTTCCAGTTTCTTAATGTTTTCTTGAGTTGAGGGGTCCCAAACGGTGGATGCATATTCTATTATTGGCCTAACCAAGGTTAAATAACATTTTAGTTTTATGTTCTTATTTGATTTATAGAAATTTCTTTTAATAAACCCTAATGCTTTGTTTTTTTTTGTTTTTTTTTTATTGTTTCATCAATATGTGGATTCCGTGACAGTTTTTCATTTATTATAACACCTAGGTATTTTGCGTTTTTAGTCTGTGTTACTGGTTTGCCATGAATAAGATAAGTGGAATTAATTTGTTTTAGTTTTTTTGTTACTCTTAACAACTGACATTTTTCTGGGTGGAAAGACATGCTCCAATTTGATTCCCATTTCTGTAATTAATCTAATTCTCTTTGTAAAATATCTGTGTCTTGTGTTGTTTTTATTGTTCTATATACTATGCAATCGTCTGCAAATAATCTGACTTTTGTTCCTGAAGTAATGCAATTTGGTAAATCATTTATGTAAATTAAAAATAGTAGTGGACCCAAGACTGTTCCTTGAGGTACACCTGAGTTTACTGTTATCGGTATTGATTTAGAGCCATTTATTATTACAGTTTGTTCTCTCCCTATCTCCGCAAGTCACACTCCGATCATCTGATAAGATCAGGAGATCACGGAGCGATAACTGCCTCCATTGATGTATAGGCTGTCAACCCCTTGTTGTCTCAGAGCCACGTGATTTGGAGCCTGATGTGTAATAGCATACGTCAACTAACAAGCGTGTATCTCTTTCTTGTGCTCATTCGAAATAGTCAAGTTAAGGACACCAAAAGACTTTTTCTTTCACTCTAGAATTATAGACACGAATATACTAGATCTAGCTACAGTCTGTTACAGTGACTAGGCACTAGATCTGGTTGCAGTCTGCTACAGTGACTTGTCACTAAATCTATCTACAATGTGCTAAAAAGACTAGATTTAGCTACAGTCTGCTACAAAGACTAGATTTAGCTACAGTCTGCTACAAAGATTAGATCTATCTACAGTCTGCTACAAAGACTACATCTAGCTACAGTCTGCTACAAAGACTAGATCTAGCTACAGTCTGTTACAAAGACTAGATCTAGCTACAGTCTGCTACAGGGACTTGTCACTTAGATGTAGTTCCGGGACTAGGCTCTAGAATTAGATGTTGTTTTTATTTTTATATAAAAGGTCGTTGTTTGAGATTGATTCGAGGCTTAGGAAAAAAACGTTTATGGCTTTGCCTCATCGATCAGCCTCTTGAAAAAAACAACAACCTGTGATCCTGTGTGTGTGGCGAGGTCACGTGATACGCCACATTAAGGTTATCTTCACAACGTTGCTCAGCGCGTTATGACAATGGCATGACGTCACATCTCTTGCAATGCACGGGCACACTGTGTGTGTGTGTGTTCGTGTGTGTGTGTGAGAACGTCTGAACTCTACTTTGTTATTTAACAACGGGCGTAAGATAGATAGATAACCTAGAAGTAGGTCATGTATTCTTACATCATCGTGGGATGTCCAACTACGCCCCCCTGGCCTTTGATACGGCGCGATCCGGCCCTTCTTGTAAACGTCTTCGCACAATGCATGCTGAAGCCTCAGAGGCTGAATGTCACTTTGCACGACGACTTTAGCGAGAATGCGGTCCGATACAAACCTTCACCCAGGACGATATAGGTTGGTCAGCACTACAGTAGATTAAACATGAAATGTAGAATGATTTTCAGAAAGTTAAATCGTAACTCATAATTTACAGGCTTTACTTCTAAAGAAAAGATAACGTCCAATCTAGTCTTGCAAGTTAATCAATGACTTAAACTCTACTAAGTCGTTGGTTTTCAAGGCTGATTCAGGCAACCCATTCCATGCGCTAAGAATCTAATAGCACTATGGAAGAAGGAGCACTACCTGGAAAGTTTCTGGTTTGAAATCTATGCTTGTGTGGTTCAGTAGAAGTGTTAAGATACAAGTTGATTCTAATCCCAACCGAAATTAATGGAAGATCATTGTATTGGTCAAAACAGATGGAAATTCATTTTGACTACATTCGTCCACCTTGGCATTACTAGTAGCAACAACAATATAGACGCAAACACAGACAACACAAAAACTAATGTAGACAAGAATAGACACATCACACACAACCAGCGCTTGAAGAAATGGCCTCCTGCTTACTCAAGGCCGTTGTACAAGGCCTAGATACTAACCTGCAATGTCGCAACCTGTGGGCAGTGGAACCCATAGCTCATTGCCGCGTCGTACAGACTGTGACGTGGCAACGAGCTATTGGTCTCCACTTCCCACGGATTACGACGTTGCAGGTCATGTGTTCAGGCCTTCTGCGACGATCGGTCTCGCTTCAAGCACAAAGGTCACGATGCACTTCTCGATGACGTTAACTGACCTTGAAACAGTCTGGCTAACAGTGGAAGAAAAAAAGTGGTTAAACCTCACTTGACTAGATCTAGTTGAGATCTATCTACATTTATCACTGTGCCCCCCCCCCCTGATTTATTTAGTGTATTTATATAATTGTTTTGTGAGGGAGGGCGGAGTAGTTTTTTTTTTTTTTCAAACTATTTTTTTTTTTGTTTCAGATGAACAACATTGGATCTACCACTGGCGCCAACACAGTGGGGGGCTACGTCGATCAGGCTCCCACCCTGTTGGAAAACGACAGGCTAGTGCTCTAAGTCAGTCAACTAACAGATGTGCAAGACAAGGCTTTGGAATCACTTTTTGGAATCATTTCCCAGACTTCAAATGTGGTCTTGTGTTTCTGCTTGCTTGTTGACCTGGCGATCCCTTTCATTTAAATACGTTGCATACATTTAACATACATTGAATGGAGATGTGTAACTAAATATAGTTCTAGATCACGTGATTATAATGATGTCCGTCTAACTGCAGTCTTGGATAGTCTCCCCCTCGTTCACTGGAATATTGAAAGTAAAAGATATAGTTTGAACTTTGAAAACCCCCCAAGGGTGATTTTTGGAAATGGGGGGGGGGGGGGGGGTCCAGAAGAGTAAGTATTTTGTATTTGAAATATATAAAAATCTGTTTAAAAATATATTATACATTAGTATGTATATATTTATAAAGGGATATATATATATATTGTCCTGTAAGTCAGTCAACTCACAGATGTGAGTATATATATATATATATATGAGATATATGATGGCTGTCTATCAGAAAGAAACATTCCATCCGGTTCAACTGTTTACTACAAGAACATTGATCTTTAGGTGATCGTTTAGTTTGACTTCTTAAAAATCTGTCCATTATTTTTTTCGACATAATGTTTGAAATGTTTTCTAAGTTGATTAAAGTTTTTCTTTTTCAAAATTTCTCAGTTGTTTTTTTATTTTTTTGTTGTTTTTTCGTTATATTGTTGGGTGTATTCTTGTAACTATCCTGATTAACAACAATAATAAATCTGTAGGATTGTAGAGTTATATTATGTTGCTATTTAGATCATACATCTAATTCTAAACAAACAAGTCACGTGCCAGGATCCAAACAAAAGCACCGAGAAGACATTTCAGCATTCAATCGTCACCATGACAACGTGATGGCCTCATTTCTCGCTAGCCGTCAAGCTGTTCGGTTACAAAGAGTTGTTGAAGCTGATTTCATATCCCAGTTGATTCCAGCAGAATGTGGTAAATAATAACGGCGAGAAAGAGTTAATTCCAGGGGCTTCGTGTTCTTGTAAAATTCAGCTTGATACTCAAATAGAGTAAAGCACAAACAAATCTAGAATAAAATTCAGAAAACTTAAATACACGGTACATAATCAGACTGATGCATATAAAAATGTATTAACACAATTCATAAGCCAAACATTTCCCGGGCAATGGATCTCAACCTCGGGTGGAAACGGTCGTTCGAGGAGACAGTAGAGAAGCTAAACAGAACTCCGTTAGGGTGTCTAAAGATCGAGTCCATTGCACTGGCGGGTATGGAAGAAAGCCCCAACATATGTCACTATACACACACAGTTCCTCAAAGAGCCGTTTTATGGCTACCTAAGCCGGCCCTGTTATAAATTGCAAGCTTTTAGGTGTATCCGGTGTATATCGTAGGGTAAGCGCTGATAAGTTAGTTTTATTTTATTTTATTTTTTAAGTTATAGTTGTTTTTTTGGTCTAACCTTTTTAGCACTACTAGGCTTCTAAGTACTGATTTAAATTTGTCGATTTTATTATTTTTATAAGGCAACAGTTGAAGTTGGGCCTATATCAAGTGTCCTTGACAGCGCTTGCTTTATCATGAAAATGTCACTATTTTTCTTTCTATAATATAAGTGTACCTAGCCGAACCAGAAAATAAATATAAGTATAAATATATATAGGAGGCTACGTCAATGTTTCGAAATATCTCTAACTCTAATTTCATTGAACAACAAAAAATTATAGATCTAGATCTAATAAGTTAGCTATTTTAGAAGTTGACACCGTATGGTCGGGTCCACCAAGAAGTCAAGAACCACAATCCACCACAACGTGGTTACTTTTTTCCGCTATCTCGTTCCTCCAAACTCAGATCTAGATCAATAAAATATAATCTAAATCTACGTTTTTCAATCTGTTATAGATCTACGATTTTCTTACCTTGACCTCCTTTGACAGGCTTTGAGCTCATTACCTTATTCAGTAATAAAACAAAATCTAGATCTATTCTGATTTGTAAGGAAGGTAATTTTTTTCCTTGTTCACATATCATGACATATGGCATGAAATGCCTCATTTGACATTGACATATGTAGATCTTTAATTTAGAAGTCTTTTTAAAAACCACCAAAGCTATAGAATATTCTTTCATTTTCAACAACAAGTAACAAGACATTCACAGGGTCCAAGACTAATATAGAATCTACTAAATAATCTTGCTAGCAGCTAGATTATAGAAGATAGATCTAGACTAAATCTATTATAATTATTATAAATAAATATATTTTGATATTATGGCTCAAAAATGAATATGAGTATTTCTCCACTCCAGTATTGGTGACTAAAAAGTGTTGGTTCACTAAAATGTCTAGGACTAGAGCACTAGTAACTAGAGTGTCTATAATATATCTCACAAACTTATAATGGAAATGTCACAATTTTCATTTCATTGCATTTAGAATATGGTTATAAAGGCCTATAAATTAGAATAAATTGTGTTGTTTTGGCTTGAAAGGTGCAAAGTGTAATTTTAAAATTGCAGACAATGTGTGAAATAGTAGGCAACACAAAATGTCATTTTTTGATGTAACATGATGGAAAACCTGGGTGCTAGATTAGGTTGAAGTAATATTGTACTAAAACCAAAGAGTATTGAACAGATATTTTGTTGAAATGGGCTAACAATATAATATCATGGCATTATTGTATATATATATTTGTATTTTATATTTTAGTATTACTTAGATGTGGAGTAAAAAGGCGCCAAGGTGCATCATTAAGCGGTATCCCGCTGACTTAAATTAAAGGTTTAAATCTCACCTAAAATGTAAAAGATTGACAAGTGGGTACCCCCTTAACCAGCACTGCTGTGTAATTGTAAATATTGCAATTTGTTTTCTATTGATAAAGTATTGATAAAAAAAAAGTTCAATGAGACTTGAAACGAAACCAAAAACTTAAATTTTTAGCCAAATGATAATGTGACACTTTTTGATACCAGTACTGGAGAAACTCACATATAATAGACTATAATACTATATCAAACATGTAAAATTACTCCATTGTAGTTTTCATTGTCTAAGACTTTATTGTTGAATTGTTATTATTATTATATTATTACGCTTCTAAATCTAGTCTCTTAGATCTAGGTCAATTATCATTTATATATACAGGCCTAGATGATTTAAAATTTAAATGGCCACCTCAGTTGATATAAAATATATATTAATTGTTAATCTCTAATATCTAATCTATATGAGAGCTTCTCCAGTACTGAGTGGCGTCAAAAAGTGTCACTTCTTCAGCCTTTGTAATATAAGAATTTATAAATAGAAAATGAATTGGAATATGACTATTACATACATTTCCATAGCAATGCATTTTAGGTGCATCACTGGGACACCATTGAAGATTAAAGTCTTAATAGGATGAAACTGTAGTAGATACATATGACATAGATATAGATCTGATAATAATTGTAGATCTAATTATACATGTCTAGATTATTGTAGATTTATAGATTGCTTTAGATATCTAGCTCAATAACATGTTAGCTTGTATTTATGACATTTGAGTTTCATCTAGTAAGCTTTTATTGTTTACTAATCATTGTTTAATTGGTATTTATGCAAGCCGCAATTCAACGAGCCAAAGGAAGTTCGGTCTAAAAAAGCGAAACTGGTAAAGGCAAGAGCTGCCAAGCTAGCAAAGAAACTTTTGCTTCAAGAAGCAGCAACACTAGAAGTACATAAGCAGGCTGCATGTAGTGGCACTACAGAAGAAGAGTTATCAGATACCCTCACACCCATCAATTGGTATAAAACATATTTAATATTAGTCTATCAATATAATTACATAATTCAGTAGCTGTAGCAGAAAGGGAAACTTTACTAACTTTCCTACTTGACCATTTTATAGATTGCCTTAGATATCTAGCTCAATAGCATGTTAGCTTGTATTTATGACATTTGAGTTTCACTATTTAGTGACTTTTATTTTTTACTAACCGTTGTATAATTTATATTAATTTCAGTACCATGGTACCCAAAAAGCAAGCTGCAATTCAGAAATGTAAACGAACAGTTGGCTCTAGAAAAGCAACACTGGTAAAGGCAAGAGCTGCTAAACTAGCAATGAAATTTTTGCTTCAAGAAGTGGCAACGCAAGAAATAGAAGGAGGACAGATTAAAAAAGACTCAAACAAGGTTCAACTTAATTGATGAATCATGTCAGTAAATCATAGTAGACCTACTATTTAAAAAATCCAGATAAGGAGACTTTTTGAACAAGTCAAATATGCAAGTGGAACATTTTCTACAGAATGCCTTTTTACAGCTTACTTAGTCTCTTTTGTCCATTTTTTTTGTTTTGTTTTCAAAAGAAAAATGCACAGATCTTTAGGAGCTCTGAAAAACAAATTTCACATTGATAGCCTTCAATCTACAAACTTTGCTTTTCTTGAGGAAGTTTTTGTTTAAAAAAAAAATCCTTATCTTCATGCCATATGAAGTATATGTACCAATCCACCAATGGAGACATCTTTGTATGCATGACACTAAATCATTTGTGAATGAGTTTGTGTGTTTAAACCAGAAGATAAAAAAATAGGGCCTATGATGTGACATTGCAAAAAGGGAAAGCTGGACATTTTCACTTTTGAGGCCAATGCCTACTGCAAATAAAAATAAATGGGCCTTTTACTCAAATTAGAACTTTGATTAATCATTGGGTCACCATTTGATTAGCAGTTGCTTTTCATGTAACACCAATCTATTTTCATATAAGAGCTATTTTGATTTAGCTCTATTCTCAATTTTATTTATAAAAATACATTAGGAAATAAATATCTTTTGTCTGTAAAATATTATAAATATTTCATAGAAATGATCAAGTACTGGCAAAGTCATGTCAAAAACAGGCCAGGGAGATTATAATATTTACTGGTTTCAGAAACACAAACAAATAGTTCGTCATCGTCCATTCTCTTGAACAGTGCATCACTATTGACCTGCATTTTAGGAACAATTTGAACTTTTTACTGATTTTGTGAAAAATAAACTTAACACATCTTTAAATCTTTTTTTTTAAATTTATGCTGTATATTTCTGAAATTTCTTAACAGATAGTGATGAAATGTGCAATACATGTGTATATGATTGGTAAATCTATACAGACTTCTTAACCAGGGTTAAACAGTTTAGTAATTATTTTTTCATAATGTGTAGTTAATGAAATTTAAATAGTTACCAGTATTAAGTTTTCTGCTCAGTTTTTTTTTGTAACTTGAGTAGAAGGCATACATTTTAAACATTTTTACTGTTTAGTCACTTTTAGCTCTTGTAAGAAATAAAGTTTTGTATTAAATTTTTATTTCTGTATTTTCTCCTATCTGTGTGGCTTTGATGATTGATATTTTGAGAATCAAAATCCCACCTCTTCATATTTTTCTAAAGTTTCTGTTATCTCAATCAGTTACGTTGAAATTTTCAGCTTAATTACAATCTTGAAATTATACAAACAGGTCTGTAAAATGTTACAGCTTAATTACATGCTTTAAATTTAAAAAACAGGTCTGAAAAGTGCATTGAATTTACTAGAAAAAAACTTATCACCCCCTCAATATCTTGCCAATAGAAGATAAGAGACTATAAAAATTGACCAAATTTCTTTTTTC